GAGTGTGGGAGCTCTTGGGGGGGTGGGGCGGGGCCACTGATCTATAATTCAGCAGGTTTTTTTCTTGCCAGTTGTTGCTTATGGAAATGATTTAGCAAAATCTTTTAATCAATAATTAGTGAGGTTTCCTGCCCCCAAAGTCAGAGACGTGCCTGTGTTCTGCCCACCCAGATCAGAGCTGCAGCAAGACCTCAGCTTGTGGCCCAGTGGTGCCTGCCCCAAACTGCGCCCATGAAAATCTTGGTCTGGTTCCTGTCACCAAGGGACAGGCTTTACCTGTGGTACATCAAGATGGATTTCAAGCCCTGTGAAAACCGTTGCCCTGCCACTCCTTTTCCCTGCCAGCTACTACCCCCCAGATGTGTCATTTACAGCAGGGGAAAACCTGGCAGCGTGACTGGAACAGACACTCCTGTGTTACCCTGTCATTCACTCCAGCCTCAGCCACTACTTAAGTGTGTGATTTGCCAACTACTGGAATCAATAATTACTGAGGCTTGAGCTTTCTCAGCATAAAAAAAGTGTTCATCCTTCCTGGCAGCATGTCTCAGTCCTTGGGGCATTTTTGGCTCTCCTGGGTGAAAGCCGTGGCAGCATCATGAGGCCAGGGATGAGAATGCTGTGGGCAGGGGTTTGCTTGAGCTTGGAAAGGGGCTGAGTGCCAGGGCGGAGGAGATGGTGCCATCTCTGGGTCTGTGTGCCCCAGCAGTGAGCTGGGACGGGTGTGTGTGGCCATGCTGCAGGGACCCTTGCCTCCCAGACCTCCAACCACAGCCCGGCAGCCTCCCAGGACCAACTCTGCCAGCTCTCTGCCACTGCAGGCTCTCTCTGCCTGAGAAACTGTCTTAAAGGAGCTCATCTTGAAACACAGCAGGACAGATCCTTCTGTTGCATTTCCTTCCTTCCCCTGGCTCTGGTGCAGGCTGAGCATCCTGCTGCTGGCTCCTTCCTCGGAGCCAGCGGTAGCCCGGTGGGCTTCGATCTGCCCTGGGGACAGGTTTGCTCCATGGAGAGAGGATTTCCTGGGAAAACCCCAAGCCTGTCACCCCACACGTGGGCAGGGTCACTGGGACTGCCCCCATTGTCCCAGTCTGTTGTGCAGGGTGATGGAGAGAGGGGGTTTGCTCCATGTACAGGGCTGTGCCATGGCAGGGACTCCCTTGCCTGTTTGGGGCGCCAGATAAAGCCAGAATAAAGTCAGTAAAGTTCTTCTCAAGCACAGCGTGCCTCTTGGCACCTCTGGCGGAGTCCAAGCCCTGCTGCCAGCTCCCTGCCAAAAAGCAGGAGGGAAGGAAGGCTGAGGCAGACCAGGGTTCACATCCCACCCTGCCTCTCCCATATGTGCCTTGCCGGGCCTGCACAGTGCCCATGGCCCCTGCAGGGCTGGCACCCATCCCCTCAGGGCTGGCACCCATCCCTGCAGGGCTCGCACACATCCCTGGAGCTGCATGGGGTTCCTGGGGAAGGCTTGTGCTGTCACCTGTTGAGGACAAAATGCCTGGTGCAGTTGGGGAAACCCCAGCAGCCTCAGACTGGGGCACCCCAGGGCAGCCCCAGGCAGAGCAGGTGTGAGTCTTTACCGGGAGTCAGAGTGGAGCTGTGTTGCGGGGGCTGAGCTCCTGCCTGCACTGGCTGGGATAACCCCCTTCAGTGGCATGCAGGCAGGCTGGAAGAGGCCTGGGGCACTTGGTGTACCTCCCAGTGCCCCACATCCCCAGGGACTGCAGGGTCACCAGGCAGTGAGAGAGAAATAGCAGCTGCAAATAGCCCAGCTGCTTGACCAGAACTGATTTTAGTGCACGTGGAGCTAAAGCCGGCATAGGAATGGGGTGTGGGGGGCAGGAGACGTGGCCATCCACGCAGAGTCAGTGTGAGCTCGGTGGCAGTATTTGGGTGACCTCTGGGTGCAGGGGAAATAGGAAGGGCAGAGGGGAGAGGTTTGGGCATGGGGACATGGGGACAGCATGGAGCGAGGAGCTGCTGATTCCATTAGCAGTGCAGAGGAATGAGGACAGGAATGGGGATGCTGCTCCAGGCGGGAGCCTCAGGCTGCTGCTGTGGATGTGACTGCAGACCCAGGGCTGGCTGGATAGCTGCATGCCCTGCAGAAATACACACCGAGAAAAGCACTTTATCTGAGTAAATAGCAACGTTTTCCCAACAGAATAAAGTCTTCTGAAATGCTAAAATGGTGTGTTGTTGCTGGAAGGTCCCAGTGCTGGGGGACATGGGGCTCCTTTTGCTGGCAGCAGGACCGTTGCTCTGTTCAGGCCATCACTGCCTACCTTGCTCTGTTCAGGCCATCACTGCCTACCCTGCCGTGTCCATGTGAGCAAGAGATGGATGAAAGAAACTTAATTCTACTCAAAGTTCCTCTTTGGTATTTGCTTTCCTGGCAGGTCTTGTGTTGCTGCTGCAGTGCTCATTCCCTGGGAGGCTCCACTCCCTTAGATGTTTTGCCAGACAAGGAACAGTGCAGGGAGCAGAAATTGCCCCCTCAGATCTTGTCTTGTAGAGACTGGGTTTGGCAGAATATTTTTTGTTTTATTTTGGCTTAATTTCCTGAGAAATCCTCAAGTAGTTGCTGAAAGACTGGTTAAAAAAAGAACATTAAAAAGCTGGGGTGGACAGCTCCATCAGAGCTTTCTGGGAGGGATGGGTGGATGGGTGGGTGGGTGGATGGATGGATGGATGGATGGATGGATGGATGGATGGATGGATGGATGGATGGGTGGATGGAGGTGTTGGGGTGGGTAGGACGGATGGAGATGCTCAGGTGAGTAGGATGGATGGAGGTACTGGGGTGGGTAGGAAGGACGGAAGCATTGAGGCAGACAGGACAGAGGCACTGGTGTGGACAGGATGGATGGACACAGCAGGGAGGACACACAGCCAACAGCACTGCACAGAGCGGTGCTTTCTCCTTGTCGGCTGCTGGGGTCTTTGCCATGGTGAAGGTGTTGGCTGGCCACTGGACTTCCCGGGGCAGCTGATTGCCAGCAGGAGACAGGGAGGAGCCATGCTGGTCATGGGGTCCAGGTCCCTGGGACAGACAGGGGGCTGCCCCAAGTGGGGCTAATCTCTGCACCTCACTGGCCATCAGCCCCCATGGCCGGCTCCCAGGAGTCCAGTGATCCCTCCTGTGCCCCAGTATCAGTGGTGGTGGGGGATGAAGGAATTGTGAGCAGCCCTGCGGAGAAGGGCTTGGGGGTATTGGTGGATGGAAAACTGCCTGTGAGCCAGCAACGTGCGCTCGCAGCCCAGAAAGGCAACCGTGTGCTGGGCTGCATCCAGAGCAGTGTGGGCAGCAGGGCGAGGGAGGGGATTCGCCCCCTCTACTCTGCTCTGGTGAGACCCCACCTGGAGTCCTGTGTCCAGCTCTGGGGGCACCAACGTCAGAAGGACACGGACCTGCTCGAGTGAGTCCAGAGGAGGCCACAAAGATGACCTGGGGGGCTGGAGCAACTCCTGTGAGGACAGGCTGAGAGAGTTGGGGGTGTCCATCTGGAGAAGAGAAGAATTCCAGGACTAAAGGGGCCTTACAGAAAAGATGACAGACTTTTTAGTAGTGCTTGTTGCAATAGGACAAGGGGTAACAGTTTTAAACTAAAGGAGAGTAGATTTAGACTAAATATAAGGAAGACATTTTTTACAATGAGGGTGGTGAAATACTGGCACAGGTTGCCCAGAGGGGTGGTAGATGCCCCATCCCTGGAACATTCAAGGCCAGGTTGGACGGGTCTGTGAGCAACCTGATGTAGTTGCAGATGTTCTGGCTCATTGCAGGGAGGATTGGACTAGATGACTTTTAAAGGTCCCTTTCAACCCAAACCATTCTATAATTCTATGGTTCTGTGTCCCCAGAAAACACCTGCAGAGACACATGGCAGCCCACAGCCTGGTGGGGCCAGGTACCCCATGGGCACTGATACAGCTTAGGGAGGGGGATGTGGTGGGGCTGTTCCCCCTTTACCAAAAGGGTGGCAAGGAGTCATTTCTGCCAGAACTACACACAACGTGGACGGGTCCTCCCATCCCCTGTCCCCAGGGTGGCTTCTGACAGCTCTGATGGGGTGACTGCAGCTGAGCACTGGTGCTCTCGGCATAGCCATGTCCATAAGCCACTCTATTCAGGGCCACAGGGAGACTACCCTGGGGCTGTGCTGGGGATGGGGACAGAGCATGTGGCATCCAGGGGCCCACGCTGTCATGACACAGGGTCTAAGGGACAGAGTGGTGCATGTGTACCACTGGTGGCTACACCAGCACCACCATCCTGGGGGACATGGGGGTGACTGAGGAAATGGGGACAGAGCCAGGGCAGGCTGGCGAAGGGGCATGGCTGGCTGTGACCCTACCACAAGCCATGTGTCCCTGCAAAGGACCTGGCACCCAGAGGCCAGTGGGCAAGGGAAGTGGACGGCACAGCCAGGGCCATGTGCTCACTGCTGGCATGGGAGGCTTGGACCAGGCTGCTGCCCCAGGCTGCTCATCCCCTGGTCTTGGCCATTCCAAGGGGGTTCATCAGGGTCCCCAGGGGTGAGCAAGAACTGCAGAGAGCCCCAGCAATATATATATATATGTGGGGGTGGGGTGGGGTGTGTGTGTGGGTGTGTGTGTGTGTGGGTGTGTGTGTGCACACTCATGTGTGTGTTCCCATTCCACCCTCCTCCATACTGGTGCCACTGGGGAGATGCTGGGGTGAGTGGGCGGGTTGGAAGGACACAAAGACAGGGATGCTGAGCCAGCGCTAGTTCAGTGTCTGTGTTTATTTGTGTGACACTCAGGGTGGGGGGACAGGAGCAGGGGACAGGGGGATGTGAGGAGAGACATTTGTGGCAGAGGGGGAGCCACTGTTCCCAGCAGCAGAGAAGAGGGAGGGGGCTGGCAAGGGCCTGCCAGGCGCGGGGAGGTCCCGGCGGGGTTAGAAGCATTCGGATTTGTCCACGGTCTTCTCCACATTGCCGGCCTCGTGCATGACCTTGCAGGTGACGGTTTTGTACTTGTTCCAGTCGGAGACACTCAGCGTCAGGTAGCTGCTGGCTATGTACTTGTTGTTGGTTTGCCGCTGGGACTGACTGGTCTCGACACCACTGCTGAGGGGGCGGCCATCGGCCAACCAGGCCACCGTGAAGGTGCTGGGGTAGAAGTCTCCCAGCAGACACACCAGAGTGGCTTTGTTTCCTGTCGACATCTCATCCTTGGATGGTGGGAAGATCGTGACGGTGGGGGAGACCTTGGGCTGACCTGCAAGGAGGAGAGAGAGCAGCATGGAGTCAGGGGGTGCCCCACCACAGCCCCCTGCCTGCCTGCCCTGCCTGCCTAGCTGGCACTGCCCAGAAACTTCCCACTTCCCCCGCAGCTAAGAGTTTATCATTTATCACTCTAACTATTTAGATTTGGAAAACATCTACATATATATCTTTATATATATATATAGATAGATAGATAGATAGATAGATAGATAGATATAGATATATATAGATATATATATATAGATATCTTTAATGTATATATATGTATATATATACACACATATATGTGTGTAACACATATACATACATCCCATATGTACTTGTATATATACACTATAAGTATATATATGTGCATATGCACATTATATGTTATAGATATATAAGCTAATATACATCATATATGTATATTATGTTACATATATAAAATATCCAATATACTACATATCTATGTAGTATACATCATTATATACATATATGTATAATTATGTCATTTATATAATATACATAACTCTGGTTAGTTGCCATAGACCTATTTCTTTCCATTTAAAAGGCAATTTTTTTAAAAAATCAAAATTTCAAAGACAAACCATCCTGTTTTCTGCCCAGTTCTGCTTTTAGACACTTTCAGACTTGTCTCAGAAAAAGTACAACTAAGAATCACCCAAAGGAAGATGGAGAAAAGATGTTTGGGCTCTCTGAGGTGGTTCTGCTGTCTTCTCAAATGTACAAAGTCTCTATCCCTCTCTCTCTCTCTCTCTCTCTAATCTCTATCTCTATCTCTATCTCTATCTCTATCTCTATCTCTATCTCTATCTCTATCTCTATCTCTATCTCTATCTCTATCTCTATTCAAAAACCAGAAGACTCCACAATTAGAAACTTTCTGCCAAAGAAATTGGCAGACTACATTTTTCTCCATCTTATGCCCCCAGTAATTTGGTTCAGATTGAGATTTTTGGCCAAATTATTTTTAAAATTACAGACAAAGAAAGACAAATGATGTTCCTGGCAGCATTTTCAACGCAATAATCTCTATTTTTGACACAGCTTACCCAGACAATAGGTTCTTTAAGATACCCCTGAAAACTTCTGGTTAAGATCCCAGGACATGCCATTTTAACACAAAGTTAGGTGCGACTTCAGCTTACTTATGTCCGAGGATGGGCTGCTATTTCACTGCGCCCGCACCCTCAGGTGCGGGACCCTGCAGAGAAGTCCCTGCTCCTCACCAAGGGTGACGGACTTGGTCCTCAGGACTAAGAGTTGAGGACTTAGACCTTAGACATTAGTCTAACAATTAATTTCTTTAACAAAGACAAAAACTGGCTTTTTTAGAGACCTAAACCTGAGATTCTGAAATAGATTCCCTGAGACCAGACACATTTTATGGCCAAATTTCAAGATCTTTCAATTGCGAAAATACCCCCCTATCTTCTGTGGCACAACCCTCAACCCCACATTTAGTGCCCATTCCCAAACCAGCGGCAAACCCCAGCCCAGCTCCAAGTCTGAGGAAAAAACCCCAAAATCACTGAAAATCGACAAAATGTCACAATTTCATGGTGGGGAAGGACAGACAGAGAAGAAGTTGGCGACTCACCTAGGACGGTCAGGACGGTCCCGGCCCCGAATACACCACACAGTGATACAGGGCTGTGCAAAAACTTCCAGCTTCATGGTAGGAGCGCTCTGGGGTCCCATGGACATGGAAGGACAAAGGTGATGAGATGGAGGCATCCCGATGGACACCGCAGGATGAAGGTGGTGGGATGGAGGTGTCCTGATGGACACAGCAGGATGAATGCATGGTGCTGATGTGCCCCGGTGGATATGGCAGGGCTGGAGCAGCAAGACAGCCATATGGGGATGACTGTGTATCTCTGGTGGAGAGGCCATGGCAAAATGGGTGGCCTTGGCCCTGCCATCCCTCATGGACTGCATTGGCCAGGCTCTCCAGAGCTGTGGCTGCATCACTGGCTGCTCCAGAGATCCACTGCTGCCCAGGACCAGGCACCTTGTTGTTACAAGCCTGTGTCCCTGCTTGTCATGTGAGGATGTTAGTCCCAGGTGAGAAAGTGTTGATGGAGGCTTTGGGTGCCCTTAAAGCATGTCAGGCAGAACCTTGCCTCAACCTGCACTGCTGCCATGCAGGTGGCTGTGGGCTGCCCTGGGCGGGCACCAGCCATTGTCCTGCCACCCCTCAGACCACACCATGGCTGCACTGGGGCAAATGGGAGCCACTGGTCATTGGACAGTATATGTGTGAGTAAACCTCATGAATAAACCAACCATCCATCCATCCATCCATCCATCCATCCATCCATCCATCCATCCATCCATCCATCCATCCTTCCCACTGCCCAGGAACACCAGTGCTGGCATAGATGCCGTGGTTTCACCCCACCTCCTCTTGTCTGTGCTACCCTGCAGCCTGGCCTTGCTTTCTGGGGCAAAACCAGACCCTGGCACAGCTCGCAGTCTTACCTGGGCAGGATTTTCAGTACCTGATGGGCGGGTGAGTCTCCTTGCAGCAGCTGTGTTGGGGTGTCCTGTGCTGGGGCAGCATGTGGCAGGGAAGTGGCGCAGCCCCAGCTGCTGTCACACTGCCCCTGCTGCTGTGCCAGAGCTCAGCCCTGCGCTCGGGGCTGGGCACGGGGCGTTGGACCATCCTGCCAGGGGTAAATAAACACTTCCCTTTGTCACATCCGGCATCTCGGCACTGGCAAAAGCACTACTGTGGGGTTGATTCCCGTGAGGGCGAGTGCAGAGCCCCGCTGAGCCAATGAGGCCTGCCAGCCATGACGGAGGATCACGCCCTGGGACGCTTGCTGAAGGCGCCTATCGCTACATCAGTGTGTGATGACCGATGGCTGAATTCACAGGGTGTTTTATTTCTGCCCTAACAGACCTCAGCACATGTCTCAGCACTTAATGCCCTGCCCGGGCAGCTGCTTTCTCCAACTTTAGCTCCTGCCTTTGCTGCAGGAGATCAAGCCAGTGCCCACAGACTCAGCTACATTGCTTTTTGGAGCCTGAAGAGCCTGAGTGCCTGGAGAGGCAACCTTGTCCTGAGACAGCAAGCCCAACTCCTCTTGCTCAGACTTGAAGCCTTCCACTTCAACCCCCTATATATTTCCTCACCATACCATAGAGCATACCTGGGAGTGTCTCCTTAGGAGAAAGGGAAATGTCAAGAAATTTCTGTTTCATAAACTCCAATATAATCTGGCTGTCTGGCAAATATATAGATATACCCAGTAACTCCTGCACTCAGACAAGCCCACTCAGAAGAAAGCCCAGGGGATCAGCAGAGGGTCTGCAGATTTGAAAGGACCAAAACCATTTTGCAAGTAGCAAAGCTCATTTTCCCATAAAACCTTGTTTCTACGTGTCAGAGAAAGACACATGAATATGTTTCAGTGTGTTTAGGCAGATGGAGGACACACTACTATAACCTAATGGAGATGCTGAAGAAAGAAAAAAAAATCAACCCATAAAGGTCCCAGCACTGGACAGACCATGTGTGAACGTCAGAGTGACTTACTGAGGATATTCAGCTGGGTCCCACTGCCAAAGAAAATAAGAAGAAATAAATGCAATGACACATTGCTGTGCAGGACACCAAGCAGCTGCTTATGCCCAGCCAGTGGCCCCGGCACTCCAGGCTGCTGCTCCTTGTAGCACCCTATTAGCCCTCGCCTTCACAGCCCCTTGGAGCAGAAGCTCTTGAGTGACGTCTCCTGGGAGCATCTGCCTAGGGCCATGGCACGCAGAGAGGGTTGGAGAGGAGGCATCAGAGGCTGTTGGTAAAGAGGAAGAGCTGGGACCAGCAGAGAAAATTATGCAAGGTATGCAGATGCTTACATACATCTGAAATAGTCAAGGCAGGGGTGAACCAGGATGGGTTTCAGTTAGAACAGATTAAATTCAAATTCCCCAGGCGAGGCTTGGCTACTGCTTTATAAAGTATTTTCCCAGTGTGGTGCCAATCTCACAGGGCACAGAGTGATCAGCTCTGAGCAAACTAGCTCTTGGAGCACTGAATTTCAATAGCATCAACTTAAATTGAAAAAAAAAATAAAAATTCAAATGTTGTGGTTTGTGCAAGTGGTTATAGAAAGAGGCAAAGTCAGTGAACCTCCTGAGTCACTAGAAAATAAATGATGCTTTGGAGATTTTGTGGTTTGAGGCACTTCATATTTCAGAGGTTTGGTTTGCCTCTGGGTAAGCTTATGCATTGGTGCGAAGGATGAAACTAGCCACAAAAATCACTGAAATTGTCTATGCAAAGGATTTAGCTGAAGCCAATGCCATCTATTTTGAAAAGCCAGTTTCTGAGCAATTCCCAGACTTTGATGAGGTTTCAGTTCAATGTTAAGAGAGGACAATTAATGGGGACAACACTCAGCATGAAAGTTCAGCTCTTCTCCATGGAGGGAGGCATGGAGGAGAACTGATGGTGTGCTGGCTGTCCCAGGGGTGTTGGCCCTTCAGCACCTGCCTGGCACATGGCCTCAGCGGGGGCAGGGATGGGTGAGGGGGTACTGATCCTGGGTGGGCACTGGGGAGGCCACGCACAACTGCTGTGTCCCAGCTGCTGGGGATGAACCAAGGAAGCCATGCCAGGCACTCTCCGTTGCTGCCACGGCATTCCCAGACATGCCAGGAAGCAAACGAAAAGGGAAAGGGTAGGATGCAGTATTGCAGCATAAACCATACTGAAACTGCCTTGCAATGGCTTGTGCAAATACCTACCCCCAGAAACAGCTTCCCTTATAGACTAAAATCAGCATTTCAGGGGGGAGCAGGTAACCTGTGTCCTGGGGCTCCTGGCACAGCGGGGGCTGGGAGGGCAGGGAGGCAGCCGGCAGGCCCCAGGGTGTGAGATGGCGATTGCAGGAGACCTTGGACCCTCAGGGTTGCTGGTGGTCATCACCTCCCCAAATGACAGGAGACGGGCACAGACCTGGGGCTGTAAGGGAGAGCCGAGACGGGACACCAGGCACAGACACCTACAGCACAGCGCAGCAAGGGCAGGGCCATGGTAGTGATCTGCCCCACAATCACACAGACAGCAGGGACTCCTAACTGGCTCCTGCAATGATGGTAGGATTTTTGTATCACTTCCCCATTGCTCCCTATCACTGTGGCAGCGCTGCTGCTGCCGTCGTAGCCACCACAGTAATAGACAGCCTCGTCCTCGGCTTGGACCCCAGTGATGGTTAACGTGGCTGTGGAGCCAGACTTGGATCCAGAGAATCGCGAAGGGATGCCCGAGGGTCTCCGATCATTCCAGTAGATCACAGTGACAGGGGCACTGCCAGGGACCTTCTGCTGGTACCAGCCATAGCTGTAGGTACTCCCGGAGCAGGTGATCTGGACGGTTTGTCCTGGGTTCGCTGACACGGAGGGCGGCTGAGTCAGCGCTGCCTGGACCAGGGAACCTGGAGAGGGAGAGGAGAGAGGGGAGAAGATGAGGGTCAGCCAGTGCCCCAGGAGCACGGCCATCCCCAGGCACGAGAACGGGCCCCTGTGCAGTGAGTCTGGCCATGTCACCTGAGACATGGGCGAGCACCACGAGGAGGAGAGGGGCCCAGGCCATGGCGCGATTCCACCAGCTCCGTGTCCCCACGCCGATGGGGCTGTGCTCTGGACACTGACTCCCTTTTAAGCGCCCACCCACCTGGGCACGGCCCCTCCATGCAAATCTGACCCCATGCTCACTGCCGGATCCTGCCCGCCTCTCCCCTCCACACCTCCCTCCCCACTCCACGCCCTGCCCCACCACCCCAGATCAGTGGGGCTTGTTCCCGGGCACAGCGCAGAGACACGTCCCAGCTCAGAGCCCAGAATCCGCCAGCATGGATTTCCCCCCACCAGCTCGTGCCCAGGGGCTGCGGGGCCAAAGGGCAAGGGAGAGCCAGGATGCTGGGGGCGAGGAGGGGCAGGTGGCTCTCAAGTCTGCCTGCGATGGGGCTGTATGATGCCAAACCCCAGCACTGTTGAACCTACAGTTGACATCATTACTATAGGTGTCCCAGCCCCCTAAGGTACCCTCATGCTCTTCTGCTTGTCTGCCCTGGCTCTTTCTCTGCCAGCCCAGCCCCACAGCTCAAGACCTTTGCTCTTCCCAGGAATCCACAACCCAGCACAATAGGAGCCATGCAGCACTGATCCCCAGGGGCTCCAGCAGTGCCTCCCCATGACCTGGTCATGAGCCCAGTGGGTTGGTGCTGGACAAACACAGCCAGAGCCCAGGCATCCCAGGGACTCTGCTCAGTGGTTGGGGCAGACTCAGGCCAACCCTGCTCCAAGACAGGGCACAGGGATCGTAGCCACCTTTGGAAGCATCATGCCCAGCCCAAGAGTGTCTGTGTCTGTGGGAAATGCACCCACGCCCACAGTCCCATGTTGTCCCAGATGCTGTCCCCTCCAAGGTGCCCGGGGCACAGACCACAATGGGCAGAGGCAGGGCAGAGCTGCAGGGGGGCTGTCTCTCTGCAGCCAGCTCAGAGAGGACCTGCTGGAGCTGAGCAGGTGACCCACAACTGGAGCCACCGCACAGGCACACGTGGTGCTTCAATGCCACATCCAAGCAGCAGCAGTGGCAGCAGCAAATGACACACAAATGCCCCTGGGGCAACAGTGGAATTGAGCCTCATGTCCCCAGTGTTGGGACTCACCATAACGCTGACCAGCACTGATGTGATGTCCCAGCGAGCACAGTAAGAGACAGCCTCTGCCTCAACTTGGACGCCACCAATGGGTAACTTGGCTATGGGGTGGCATGTTTCCAAGTGCTGCACATCCCCTCCTGAGATCAGGGCAGGAGACAGACACACATCTGGGGCTTTATGGGATGACTCAGCCAGGAAAACAGGCACAGAGACCTGTAGCAAAGGGCAGCAAAGGCAGGGCTACGGCAGGGACCTGCCTCACCATCAAACTGGGACAGCAGAGACTCCTAACTGATCTCTGTGATGGGGACAAGTTTTTGTGTCACTTCCCATTGCTTCTTGTCCCCGTGGCAGCATAGTTGCTGCTGCTGTCATAGCCACCACAGTAATAGACAGCCTCATCCTCGGCTTGGACCCCAGTGATGGTTAACGTGGCTGTGGAGCCAGACTTGGATCCGGAGAAACGTGAAGGGATGCCTGAGGGTCTCTTGGTATTATCATAGATCACAGTGACAGGGGCACTGCCAGGGACCTTCTGCTGGTACCAGCCATAGTAGCTACCACCACCGGAGCAGGTGATCTGGACGGTTTGTCCTGGGTTCGCTGACACGGAGGGCGGCTGAGTCAGCGCTGCCTGGACCAGGGAACCTGGAGAGGGAGAGGAGAGAAGGGAGAAGATGGGGGTCAGCCAGTGCCCCAGGAGCACGGCCATCCCCAGGCATGAGAATGGGCCCCTGTGCAACGAGTCTGGCCATGTCACCTGAGACATGGGCGAGCACCACGAGGAGGAGAGGGGCCCAGGCCATGGCGCGATTCCACCAGCTCCGTGTCCCCACGCCGATGGGGCTGTGCTCTGGACACTGACTCCCTTTTAAGTGCCCACCCACCTGGGCACGGCCCCTCCATGCAAATCTGACCCCACGCTCACTGCCGGATCCTGCCCGCCTCTCCCCTCCACACCTCCCTCCCCACTCCACGCCCTGCCCCACCACCCCAGATCAGCGGGGCTTGTTCCTGGGCACAGAGCGGAGACACGTCCCAGCTCAGAGCCCAAAACTCAACAGCACGGACTCGCCCCGCCAGCCTGAGCCCAGGGGCTGCGGGGCCAAAGGGCAAGGGAGAGCCAGGATGCTGGGGGCGAGGGTGGCAAGCGTTGCCCAGAGATCCAACACCCCCGTCACGGGTTGTGGGGAGCAGATGAGCTGGTGCTTGGGCTGAGGGTGGTAGGACGAGCCCTTGCCCAGGCTATTGCCACTTGCGTGTATTGTTGGGTTCCAGTTGGGCCCAGTCAGAAACTACAGCGGCAAGACGTGGGAATTAAGAATTGCTGGTTAGCAAAATGTAAACTGACCTTAAGGTTAGAAGCATGATTGTGGATAACTGAGGCAGCATTATGTAACACCATGTTGTGTGAAATACAGCAGTAAAAAACACCACCTGCAGAGTATGGCAAGCATGTAAGTAATAAACAGGCAAAACCTGAAGGTCAGTAGGATGTAAAAGTAAAAATGAACCTATGTAAACAGTTGGCAATATACTGGGAGCTTGCACACAGTGCAGTGTCTTTTGCTCTTGGCAATGCCCCCCCTTCAGCAAACTGGCATGATGTTGTCATTCCTCTGTGCATGGCCCTGATCCCGACTGGACTGAGAACAACAGCAAAACGGATGGGAAGAGGCAGGAGCAAAGCCCCTGTTTCCATCCCTCCGGGGTCCTCAGCTGAACATTATCTGCAACCAGTGAGCACACAGGATCGTAACCGGGGGTGCTTGAGAGGAGCAGGGCTGAGCGGGGCTCGTTGGGGAGCACAGAGCAGCTTCTCTCCTGAGGACCGCAGGGTGCTTGGTGTAGCCCTGCCCGTGCCCACCTGGCCTCAGCCCATGGCATGTGCCCCCCCACTTCACGCCATGATCCCGGGCACAGAGCTGGGGACAAGGTCACCTGGGGCCCAGCTGCCCACACGGCAGCTCCCAGCACCACAAGTGCAGCCCCCATGGGGCCAGCAGCCCTGCCCAAAGCCTGGCCCTATCACACCCTCAAACCCAGCCCTTGTCCCCTCACACTCATGGGGAAACAGAAAATGTCACTGCTGAAAACAAGCAGCACCCCGTGACGTGCGAGAGCCGGTGTCTTTGTCCCCAGTTGTAGCCGCAGTCCCAGGGCCCTGTATCAGGATGGGGACAGGCTCAGGGTGCCGGGCAGCCCCTTGCTGTCTTGGGGCTGTGGTGGGAGATTGCCCAGTGCCAAGGGCTTTCCTGGGGGCCAGAGATGCTGGGGGGCTCCTGGGCAGGCTGAGCATGAGCGCAACAGGCCAGCACTGGGCAAACACCGCCAACGCTGGAGTAGCCCACAGGCTGCCCTTGTGGCACGGCAGTGCAGCTCCTGACCAGCCCTGCTCTGGGGGACTCGTTGCACAGCTGGGCTGGGAAGAGGGCAAGGAGTCATCCAGCAAGGTCATGGGTGCCAGTGGGGAAACTCACAAGACCTTTGACCTCTAGGCTGCAGAGCAGGGACAGGGATGATGAGCATCAGTCCCTCCTCAAATCACACATATCAACTTGCTCTCTAAGGGGCGTCTGAGCCAGGACAACAGACACAGCCACCTGCCCCACAGGGCAGAAAGGTCAGTGCCATTGCAGGGACCTGCACCAATATCCAGCGAGGACAGCAGAGACTCCTAATTGGTTCCTGTGATTGCAAAAGGTTTTGTACCACTTCCCCATTGCTCCATGTCACCATGTCAGCGTCACTGCTGCTGTCCCAGCTACCACAGTAATAGACAGCCTTGTCCTTGGCTTGGACCCCAGTGATGGTTAACGTGCCCGTGAAGCCATACCGGGATCCAGAGAATCGCGAAGGGATGCCCGAGGGTCTCTTGTCATTGTAGTAGATCACAGTGACAGGGGCACTGCCAGGGACCTTCTGCTGGAACCAGCCATATTCATTGCTACTCCCAGAGCACATAATTCAGAGAATGTGTCTCAGGTTCTCTGACACTGAGGGTGGCTAAGTCAGCACTGCCTGGACCATGGATCCGAGGGAGAGGAGAGAAGATGGGGATCAGCCACTGCGCCAGAAGCACAGCGCTCTTCAGGCAGAGGGACAGGGTCCCAATGCCCAACAGCCCTAATGGCACAGAGGAACCCACAGCCCCACAAACAGAGCTGAAGACTAGAGGCCCATGGCCCTACAGGGAGAGCTGGCAGTAGCAGGGAAGTGAAACAACACCCTCACAGGGAATGGGACCTGGTCATGGGTACAGAAATGTCTGGGGAGAAGAGCCTGGCCTGGCTCAGAACAATCTAGCAGGGGCAGCTGCAGTAGCAGCAGGAGATAGGGGATGCCAGTAGCAAAAGGCATCAGGGCTGGGGATGAGGTATTTCCTATTATAGAGATGGGGAAAAGGAACCCCCAGTGTCACCTCCAGTGCCTTGGGGTATGGAAGTTGGAACATTCACAGTCATGTCCTTGGACAGGGGACAGGAACCTGCCTCAACTCACAGCCACAACTCTGTTTGCCGATGAGGGAAAAGGGCTGAAAACCTTCCTCTTTGATGCTGGGGTCTGTGTCTCAATTCCCCATTAGTCAGTGGCATCATTTCCCTGATCAGCACTGCTGCTGTCCCAGACACCACAGTAACAGACAGCCTTGTCCTTGGCTTGGACCCCAGTATTAGTGAAAGTGCCCATGGAGCCGGAAAAGGATCCAGAGAATCACAAAGGGATGCCCGAGGGTCTCTTCTTGCTCTTATAAATCACAGTGAGAGGGGCAGTGCCAGGTTTCTGCTCATACCATCCATAATAACCATAGCTGCTCCCAGAGCAGGTGATCTGGATGGTTTGTCCTGGATTCGCTGACACGGAGGGCGGCTGAGTCAGTGCTGCCTGGACCAGGGAACCTGGAGAGGGAAGGAGAGAAGACAGGAGTCAGACAGTGCCCCAGGAGCACAGCCCTCCCCAGGCAGCAGGATAGTGCCCCTGTGCCCAAAGGCCCTGGACAGGTGCAGCAATTCTGTCCAGGGCACCTGAGCTGTGGGCGAGAACCACAAGGAGGAGAGTGGTCCAGGCCAGCCAGGCAGCAGGTGACCAGGCTCTTGACCCAGAATGGGCATGGAGTGAGGGTGCTGGGCGCCTCCATGCAGTTGTGGGGCCATAGAGGGAAATTGCCCAGCGTCAGGGGCTTTCCTGGGGGCCAGAGGTGCTGGGGGGCTCCTGCCAAGGCTGAGCATAAGCCCAATGGGCCAGCACTGAGTGAACACTGTCAGTGCTGCAGTAGCCCATGGGCTCCTCTTGTGGCACAGCAGAGCAGCCCCTGACCAGCCCTGCTCTGCCCCACCAGCCTCACACATGGCCACAGAGATGCTGCGCCCACGGGAAATGTCCCTTCCCAGGGTTTGAAGGCAAAGCTTTGGCCCAGCTGCGCAGCCCATGGCATGTTCCCACCTCCTGGTGCTGGGGCCACAGTTTCAGCAGGGCTGAACCCCTCAGGGGTGATGCCCTGGGGGACTCCTGGCACAGCTGGGCTGGGAGGAGGGCAGGGAGGCACCCAGCAGGGCTATGGTGTCAGTGGGTAATTTGGAGGACCTCGGACACACAGGGCTGTGGGGCAGGGACAGAACTGCTGGGCATCATCCCCTCCTCAAATGACCACAGACAGGCACAGACCTGGGGCTGTAAGGGACAGCCGAGGCAGGACACCAGGCACAGGCACCTGCAGCACAGGGCAGCTAGGGCAGGGCCATGGCAGGGCCCTGCCCCACCATCAAACAGGGACAGCAGAGACTCCTAACTGGCCCCTGCGATGACAGGAGGCTTTTGTATCACTTCCCCATTGCTCTCTGTCACTGTGGCACCAGTATAGGTGTCCTCATATTGACCACAGTAATAGACAGCCTCATCTTCAGCTTGGACCCCAGTGATGGTTAACGTGGCCGTGGAGCCGGAGAAGGATCCAGAGAATCGTGAAGGGATGTCTGAGGGTCTGTTGTCATTCCAGTAGATCACGGTGACAGGGGCACTGCCAGGGACCTTCTGCTGGTACCAGCCAGCATAACCGTAACTGCTAACCCCGGAGCAGGTGATCTGGACGGTTTGTCCCAAATTCGCTGACACGGAGGGCGGCTGAGTCAGCGCTGCCTGGACCAGGGAACCTGGAGAGGGAGAGGAGAGAGGGGAGAAGATGGGGGTCAGCCAGTGCCCCAGGAGCACGGCCATCCCCAGGCAGTGGGACAGGCCCCTGTGCCCAATGGCCCATGACGGGCACACTGAGTCTGCCCAGGGATCTGAGCCATGGGCAAACATCATGAAGAGGAGAGGGACAAGGTCAAACTCATGCCAAGTGACCAGGCCACCTCCCAGCATAGCAGATGGACAGGCACAGGGTGTTGGGCAGCCCTTTGCTGTCACGGGCTCTTAGGGGGACATTGCCCAGCTCTAGGAGTATCCCTGGGGGCCAGAGGTGCTGGGGGGATCCTGCCAAGGCTGAGCATGAGCCCAAATGGGACAGCACTGGGCAAACACAGCCAACGCTGGAGTAGCCCACAGGCTCCTCTTGTGGCACAGCAGAGCAGCCCCTGACCAGCCCTGCTCTGCCCCACCAGCCTCACACATGGCCACAGAGATGCTGCGCCCACGGGAAATGTCCCTTCCCAGGGTCTGAAGGCAAAGCTTTGGCCCAGCTGCGCAGCCCATGGCATGTTCCCACCTCCTGGTGCTGGGGCCACAGTTTCAGCAGGGCTGAACCCAGCAGGGGTGATGCCCTGGGGGGACTCCTGGCACAGCTGGGCTGGGAGGAGGGCAGGGAGGCACCCAGCAGGGCTATGGTGTCAGGTGGGGACAGCAGGGGACCTTGGATCCGCAGAGCTGCTGATGTCATCCCTTTCCCAACTGGCAGGGGATAAGCACAGACCTGGGGCTGTAAGGGATGTCTGAGCCAAGACACCAGGCACAGGCACCTGCAGCACAGGGCAGCAAGGGCAGGGCCCTGCCCCACCATCAAACGGGGACAGCAGAGACTCCTAACTGTCCCCTGCAGTGGCGGCAGGATTTGTATCACTTTCCCATTACTCCGTGGTACCATTATAACAGTCCTCATATTTACCACAGTAATGGACAGCCTCGCCCTCAGCTTGGACACCTGTGATGCTTAATTTGCCCATGGAGCCAGACTTGCAGAAAGTGGCGCCCGAGGGTCTCTTTGTGCTATCGTAGATCAGAGTGAGAGGGGCACGGCCAGGTACCTTCTGCTGGTACCAGCCATACCAGCTATAGCTGCTCCCAGAGCAGGTGATCTGGATGGCCTGACCCAGGTTTGGGGACACCGAGGGCGGCTGAGTCAGTGCTGCCTGGACCAGGAAACCTGGAGAGGGAGAGAGACTGGAGAAGATGGGGGTTGGCCAGTGCTCCAGGAGCACAGCCCTCCCCAGGCAGCGGGTCACGGAGTGCCACAGTCAGAGAAGACACCCAGACACGGTCACAGGCAACTCTAGGGAGCAGAGCCTGTTACAGCCCGCTCAGATGAGGGAGACAAGTGACTCAGGTTTACAAATTCCCAATGGAGCGGACAACAAATCTCCAAGTCCAAACATTTATTAACTACGCACAGTGTGCTAATTGAATACACAATAACTGGCTAAGTATATAGTAAGTTGTGGCAAGCAATACAATATGCCTTGCATTTCGTTATGTAAAAGGAGAAAGAGGGAGATAGAGGGAATGGGGAAATACAGATCACCGGTCTCGGTTTTTGCGCTGATCCCGCCAGCAAAGGTTCCAGGAGGCAGCCGTCTTTTTCGCTTGCATCCGTCTTCTTTGCTGTGCAGAGGGAACAGGAACCTGCCTCAGCCCCACAGCCACACCAAGGCTTGGCCAGGAGGGACAAGGTCCGAAAACCTTCCCCTGACTTTCAAGGCTTTGTCTCACTCACGGTCAGCACACACCATAGCTGCTGCTGCTGCTGTCCCAGCCACCACAGTAATAGACAGCCTCGTCCTCAGCTTGGACCCCAGTGATGGTTAACGTGCCCGTGGAGCCAGACTTGGATCCAGAGAATCGCGAAGGGATGCCCGAGGGTCTCTTGTCATTGTAGTAGATCACAGTGACAGGGGCACTGCCAGGGACCTTCTGCTGGTACCAGCCATATTCATAGGTACTCCCAGAGCAGGTGATCTGGACAGTTTGTCCCAGGTTCGTTTACTCGGAGGGCGGCTGAGTCAGCGCTGCCTGGACCAGGGAACCTGGAGAGGGAGAGGAGAGAGGGGAGAAGATGGGGGTCAGCCAGTGCCCCAGGAGCACGGCCATCCCTGGGCAGTGGGACAGGCCCCTGTGCCCAATGGCCCATGACGGGCACAGTAAGTCTGCCCAGGGATCTGAGCCGTGGGCAAGCACTACGAGGAGGAGAGGGACAAGGCCAGACACATGCCAGGTGACCAGGCTGTGGCTCCTGGCACAGGACAGGGACAGGCACAGGGTGCTGGGCAGCCCTTTGCTGTCATGGGGCCTTAGTGGGACATTGCCCACTGTCAGGGGCTTCCCCAAGGGCCAGAGGTGCTGGGGGGCTCCTGCCAAGGCTGAGCATAAGCCCAATGGTCCAGCGCGGGGCAAACACAGCCAACGCTGGAGTAGCCCACAGGCTCCTCTTGTGGCACAGCAGAGCAGCCCCTGACCAGCCCTGCTCTGCCCCACCAGCCTCACACATGGCCGCAGAGATGCTGCGCCCACGGGAAATGTCCCTTCCCAGGGTTTGAAGGCAAAGCTTTGGCCCAGCTGCACAGCCCATGGCATGTTCCCACCTCCTGGTGCTGGGGCCACAGTTTCAGCAGGGCTGAACCCCTCAGGGGTGATGCCCTGGGGGGACTCCTGGCACAGCTGGGCTGGGAGGAGGGCAGGGAGGCACCCAGCAGGGCTATGGTGTCAGGTGGGGACAGCAGGGGACCTTGGATCCGCAGAGCTGCTGATGTCATCCCTTTCCCAACTGGCAGGGGATAAGCACAGACCTGGGGCTGTAAGGGATGTCTGAGCCAAGACACCAGGCACAGGCACCTGCAGCACAGGGCAGCAAGGGCAGGGCCCTGCCCCACCATCAAACGGGGACAGCAGAGACTCCTAACTGGCCCCTGCAGTGGCGGCAGGATTTGTATCACTTTCCCATTACTCCGTGGTACCATTATAACAGTCCTCATATTTACCACAGTAATGGACAGCCTCGCCCTCAGCTTGGACACCTGTGATGCTTAATTTGCCCATGGAGCCAGACTTGCAGAAAGTGGTGCCCGAGGGTCTCTTTGTGCTATCGTAGATCAGAGTGAGAGGGGCACGGCCAGGTACCTTCTGCTGGTACCAGCCATACCAGCTATAGCTGCTCCCAGAGCAGGTGATCTGGATGGCCTGACCCAGGTTTGGGGACACCGAGGGCGGCTGAGTCAGTGCTGCCTGGACCAGGAAACCTGGAGAGGGAGAGAGACTGGAGAAGATGGGGGTTGGCCAGTGCTCCAGGAGCACAGCCCTCCCCAGGCAGCGGGTCACGGAGTGCCACAGTCAGAGAAGACACCCAGACACGGTCACAGGCAACTCTAGGGAGCAGAGCCTGTTACAGCCCGCTCAGATGAGGGAGACAAGTGACTCAGGTTTACAAATTCCCAATGGAGCGGACAACAAATCTCCAAGTCCAAACATTTATTAACTACGCACAGTGTGCTAATTGAATACACAATAACTGGCTAAGTATATAGTAAGTTGTGGCAAGCAATACAATATGCCTTGCATTTCGTTATGTAAAAGGAGAAAGAGGGAGATAGAGGGAATGGGGAAATACAGATCACCGGTCTCGGTTTTTGTGCTGATCCCGCCAGCAAAGGTTCCAGGAGGCAGCTGTCTTTTTCGCTTGCATCCGTCTTCTTTGCTTCACTGCACTCTCCCTGTCACCCCCTTTCTTCCCCTGCCTTGATTTATACACTCTTTCCTTGGGTCTGTCCCCTAGGCTGACCCACATCCCTATGTATCCCATCTATGGGGAGGGGTAAGGTGTTTCATGGGATGATGTAATTAGCATGATCATGTTTGCCTTCATTAGCATATTGAGGAGTGTTAATTTTAATATGCATTTCGTGGATAATGAAGCAAAGGTCATTCACCGGACAGATGGCCCTTGAAATCTGGCCAGGAGCCCCAGAGCAGAGCCGTCCTGTCTCCACAGGGCTCCCTCCTCCAGCTGCATCCTGTGTTACTCGGGCAGCCTTATCAACTTCGACCTCCACAACATCCAACCTGTGACTCAGTTTTGCTTTGCGAGTGTTTGAGGCATTCCTTCAATCAGCCTCAACTTTTGCTTTCTCAGCCTGTTTTTCTTAGTTTCTCGCAGGCCCGGTTAATCTTGTCTCTTACAGAGCCGAGCCCAGCACATCCCCGCGCAGAGGCAGCTGGAGCAGCAGCAGGAAGACATGGTCATCAGGAGGAAGAGACAGCAGGATGTCAGACAAGGCCACACTGTGAATTTTGGGGGGAGAAGGACAATAGTCCCAGGACAAGGAGTCATCCAGTGCTCTAGGACATGAAAGGGAGGACATTCACAGCCATGGCTGTGCAGAGGGAACAGGAACCTGCCTCAGCCCCACAGCCACACCAAGGCTTGGCCAGGAGGGACAAGGTCTGAAAACCTTCCCCTGACTTTCAAGGCTTTGTCTCACTCACGGTCAGCACACACCATAGCTGCTGCTGCTGCTGTCCCAGCCACCACAGTAATAGACAGCCTCGTCCTCAGCTTGGACCCCAGTGATGGTTAACGTGGCTGTGGAGCCAGACTGGGATCCGGAGAATCGCGAAGGGATGCCCGAGGGTCTGTTGGTGTTATCACAGTGACAGGGGCACTGCCAGGGACCTTCTGCTGGTACCAGCCATAAGCATTGCTGCTACTCCCACCCTAGATATAGCTGCTGTGCCCAAGGGACACGGACATGAGGGCGGCTCAGTCAGAGTTGCGTGAGAGCAAGGGGCTGAGGCAGAAGCTCTCCCTGCCCAGACACAGTGCCCAGGGCTCCCACGGCGTGGCAAATGCCCATGCACTGAGACCTGCACACCCAGGGTGGCGGCAAGACCACAGGGCCCTAGGCAATACCCAGCCTGGGGGAACAGAAATGCAGCAAAGCTTTTCTGGGGCACTTCCAAAGGTTCTAGTTCCTAATGCTGCCCCAGGCTCCTCTGCCCCTCACGTGGATATTGGGCAGTCGGGAAATGCCCAGCCAGGGTCTTTCTAGCACCAGGACCCCTACCCCTGCGGACATAGTCACAGCCCTGAGACAATAGGCACATGGGGGAGGGCATTGGAAGGGAAAAGGGAAAACCCCAAAGTCAGAGAGAGGAGACAGGCTGGCTGGGAGACAGGAGAAGATAAAATTGACCCTTTGACACTCAAGGTCTCACTTGGCTGTGGCTCAGTGTCACCATGAGATCACTAGCGTCATCTTTGCCACCACAGTAATAGACAGCCTCGTCCTCGGCTTGGACCCCAGTGATGGTTAATGTGCCTGTGGAGCCAGACTTGGATCCGGAGAACCGTGAAGGGATGCTCGAGGGTCTCTTGTCATTAGCATAGATCACAGTGACAGGGGCACTGCCAGGGACCTTCTGCTGGTGCCAGCCATAGCTGTAGGTACTCCCAGAGCAGGTGATCTGGACGGTTTGTCCCGGGTTTGCCAACACGGAGGGCGCCTGAGTCAGCGCAGCCTGGACCAGGGAACCTGGAGAGGGAGAAGAGAGAGGGGAGAAGATGAGGGTCAGCCAGTGCCCCAGGAGCACGGCCATCCCTGGGCAGCAGTACGGGACCCCTGTGCCCAAAGTTCCTAACTGTAAATAGGGACCCACAGCCCCATGCAGAGAATCGAAGCACTGGGCTCAGGGCTCTGTGAGTAGAACTGACAGGAGCCTGAGAATGTGGCTGCCAGCAGCAGGAGGCTGCAGGGCAGGTGACAAGGCAACAACATGCTTTTTGTCTGGACAAGCAGAGATCCAGAGTCACCTCCTGCATGGCATGGTACCATCAGAAGAACATTCACAGCCATAGCCATACAGAGGGGACATGAAGGTGCCCCAGCCCCACATACCTGCTCAGCCATGAGGGAGAAGGGCAGAGAACCTCCATTTTAAAATCCTATGTGGCTCACTTCCACATCTCTCTGGGTCACCACATCAGCATCACTGCTGCTGTCCCAGCCACCACAGTAATAGACAGCCTCGTCCTCAGCTTGGACCCCAGTGATGGTTAACGTGCCCGTGGAGCCAGACTGGGATCCAGAGAATCGCGAAGGGATGCCCGAGGGTCTCTTGTCATTAGCATAGATCACAGTGACAGGGGCACTGCCAGGAACCTTCTGCTGGTACCAGCCATAGTAGCTGCTGCTACCCCCGGAGCAGGTGATCTGGACGGTTTGTCCCGGGTTCGCTGACACGGAGGGCGGCTGAGTCAGTGCTGCCTGGACCAGGGAACCTGGAGAGGAAGAGGAGAGAGGGGAGAAGATGGGGGTCAGCCAGTGCCCCAGGAGCACGGCCATCCCCAGGCAGTGGGACAGGCCCCTGTGCCCAATGGCCCATGACGGGCACAGTAAGTCTGCCCAGGGATCTGAGCCGTGGGCAAGCACTACGAGGAGGAGAGGGACAAGGCCAGACACATGCCAGGTGACCAGGCTGTGGCTCCTGGCACAGGACAGGGACAGGCACAGGGTGCTGGGCAGCCCTTTGCTGTCATGGGGCCTTAGTGGGACATTGTCCACTGTCAGGGGCTTCCCCAAGGGCCAGAGGTGCTGGGGGGCTCCTGCCAAGGCTGAGCATAAGCCCAATGGTCCAGCGCGGGGCAAACACAGCCAATGCTGGAGTAGCCCACAGGCTCCTCTTGTGGCACAGCAGAGCAGCCCCTGACCAGCCCTGCTCTGCCCCACCAGCCTCACACATGGCCACAGAGATGCTGCGCCCACGGGAAATGTCCCTTCCCAGGGTTTGAAGGCAAAGCTTTGGCCCAGCTGCACAACCCATGGCATGTTCCCACCTCCTGGTGCTGGGGCCACAGTTCCAGCAGGGCTGCACCCCTCAGGGGTGATGCCCTGGGGGACTCCTGGCACAGCTGGGCTGGGAGGAGGGCAGGGAGGCACCCAGCAGGGCTATGGTGTCAGTGGGTAATTTGGAGGACCTTGGAGCCACAGGGCTGTGGAGCAGGGACAGAACTGCTGGGCATCATCCCCTCCTCAAATGACCACAGACAGGGGCAGACCTGGGGCTGTAAGGGACAGCCGAGGCAGGACACCAGGCACAGGCACCTGCAGCACAGGGCAGCAAGGGCAGGGCCCTGCCCCACCATCAAACAGGGACAGCAGAGACTCCTAACTGGCCCCTGCGATGACAGGAGGCTTTTGTATCACTTCCCCATTGCTCTCTGTCACTGTGGCACCAGTATAGGTGTCCTCATATTGACCACAGTAATAGACAGCCTCATCTTCAGCTTGGACCCCAGTGATGGTTAACGTGGCCGTGGAGCCGGAGAAGGATCCAGAGAATCGTGAAGGGATGTCTGAGGGTCTGTTGTCATTCCAGTAGATCACGGTGACAGGGGCACTGCCAGGGACCTTCTGCTGGTACCAGCCAGCATAACCGTAACTGCTAACCCCGGAGCAGGTGATCTGGACGGTTTGTCCCAGGTTCGCTGACACGGAGGGCGGCTGAGTCAGCGCTGCCTGGACCAGGGAACCTGGAGAGGGAGAGGAGAGAGGGGAGAAGATGGGGGTCAGCCAGTGCCCCGGGAGTGCGGCCATCCCCAGGAAATTAGTTGGGGACAGAACCCCTGTGCCCAAAGACCCCGGTTGGGCACAGAGTGTCTGGCCAGGGCACCTGAGCCATGAGCGAGCACTGCAAGGAAGAGAGGAACCCAGGCCATGGCACGATCCCACCAGCTCTGTGTCACCACACTGATGGGGCTGTGCCCTGGACCCTGACTCCCTTTTAAGTGCCTGCCTGCCTGGGGCATGACCGCTCATGCAAATCTGTCTCTACAGCTCAGGCTGGATCCTGCCAGGACCGCCCAGAACCGTGAGGGGCTGGGGCAGCACCAGCTGCAGACAGCTCTGGGGACATGGCACGGGGTGGCACCAAGGCCTTTCTGCCCCCCAGTTCCAGACAGCAGGACAGATCTCTCCTTTTCTCAGGTCCAGCTGCAGCCTTTCCCCCTGCCCAGCCCTTCTCCTGCCTGGTCACAGCCTGGGGCAAGCTGAGGAGCTATTGCCCAGCCCCATGCCTTTGAGCTGTGCTCCGCATCCCAGCGCTCTCCAGATTGGCATCCCCAGGGCACACTGCAGTGCCTGTGGGGCAGCCCCAGTGGGCAGGGCCCCTGGGCATGGAGCCACAAGCTCCCCTGGCCTGTAGCCCTTGGTAGACTGTCACTGCCCAGATTTCCCAGCAGCAGGGCTTTGTTCCCCAAAACTCCTCATCCCATGGTTTGGAGGTGAAGCTTTGTCCTTGCCCCTCAATCAGAAGCACAGTCCTGAATACCTGTGATGGGGCCAAGCTTCCAGCAGGCTGAACTCCATGGTGATGCCCAGGAGCAGGGCAGAGACCTTCCTGCAGGCAGGTCCTGTCCAAGCACAGGCAGGTGCCCCTCACCTGCAGCCCAGGCCAGCTGAGCTGCCCCAGCCTGCACTCAGCCGTGCCGGCCACGCTGCACCCATGGCAGCACCAACAGATCCTCAGCCCACACCTGCCCCTGCCAAGCCCTTGCACGTCCCCACAGCACAAGGGCCTCTTAAACAGCCCAGTACTGCCAGGCTTCTTCCCTGCTGCACAGCTCCAGCAGGAGCCCTGTGGCTGCAGGAGCCGTTGGACATTTCTGCGCTGGTGCTCGCACAGAGCTGTGTTGGCTGGACATCTCCCAGCCAGGGGGAAGCCCACCAGCAGCTGCAGCACCTCATGGCAGCTCCAGGACAAAGCAAGAGGATGGTGGGGAGCAGGTACCAGTGAGGAGGGGGGTCATGGTGCAGTGAGGGACAGGGGTGGGAGGGAGGACTACTGGTGGTCATCACCTCCCGAAATGACAGGAGACAGGCACAGACCTGGAGCTGTAAGGGACGGCTGAGCCAGGACACCAGGCACAGGCACCTGCAGCACAGGGCAGCAAGGGCAGAACCATGGCAGGAAATTGCCCCAAAATCAAACAGTGATGGCAGAGACTCCTAACTAGCCCCTTCCATGACAGGAGGTTTTTGTGTCACTTCCCCATTGCTCTGTGTCACCGTGGCAGCACTGCTGCTGCTGTCGTAGCTACCACAGTAATAGACAGCCTCGTCCTCGGCTTGGACCCCAGTGATGGTTAACGTGGCTGTGGAGCCAGACTGGGATCCGGAGAATCGCGAAGGGATGCCCGAGGGTCTGTTGGTGTTATCACAGTGACAGGGGCACTGCCAGGAACCTTCTGCTGGTACCAGCCATAGTAGTTGTTGCTACTCCCGGAGCAGGTGATCTGGACAGTTTGTCCCGGGTTCGCTGACACGGAGGGCGGCTGAGTCAGCGCTGCCTGGACCAGGGAACCTGGAGAGGGAGAGGAGAGAGGGGAGAAGATGGGGGTCAGCCAGTGCCCCAGGAGCACGGCCATCCCCAGGCAGTGGGACAGGCCCCTGTGCCCAATGGCCCATGACGGGCACAGTAAGTCTGCCCAGGGATCTGAGCCGTGGGCAAGCACTACGAGGAGGAGAGGGACAAGGCCAGACACATGCCAGGTGACCAGGCTGTGGCTCCTGGCACAGGACAGGGACAGGCACAGGGTGCTGGGAAGCCCTTTGCTGTCATGGGGCCTTAGTGGGACATTGCCCACTGTCAGGGGCTTCCCCAAGGGCCAGAGGTGCTGGGGGGCTCCTGCCAAGGCTGAGCATAAGCCCAATGGTCCAGCGCGGGGCAAACACAGCCAATGCTGGAGTAGCCCACAGGCTCCTCTTGTGGCACAGCAGAGCAGCCCCTGACCAGCCCTGCTCTGCCCCACCAGCCTCACACATGGCCGCAGAGATGCTGCGCCCACGGGAAATGTCCCTTCCCAGGGTTTGAAGGCAAAGCTTTGGCCCAGCTGCGCAGCCCATGGCATGTTCCCACCTCCTGGTGCTGGGGCCACAGTTTCAGCAGGGCTGAACCCCTCAGGGGTGATGTCCTGGGGACTCCTGGCACAGCTGGGCTGGGAGGAGGGCAGGGAGGCACCCAGCAGGGCTATGGTGTCAGGTGGGGACAGCAGGGGCCCTTGGACACACAGGGCTGCCAGGGGTCTTCCCCTCCCCAACTGGGGAGGGCAGGCACAGACCTGGGGCTGTAAGGGACGGCCGAGGCAGGACACCAGGCACAGGCACCTGCAGCACAGGGCAGCAAGGGCAGGGCCATGGGGAGTCCTGCCCCACCATCAAACGGGGACAGCAGAGAGGCCTAACTGGCCCATGAGGTGGCAGGTTTTGTATCACTTCCCCATTGCTCTGTGTCACCGTGGCAGCACTGATGCTGCTGTCGTAGCTACCACAGTAATAGACAGCCTCGTCCTCGGCTTGGACCCCAGTGATGGTTAACGTGGCTGTGGAGCCAGACTGGGATCCGGAGAATCGTGAAGGGATGCCCGAGGGTCTCTGGTTGTTGTTGTAGATCACAGTGACAGGGGCACTGCCAGGGACCTTCTGCTGGAACCAGCCATAGTTGTTGTTAATCTTGGAGCAGAAGATCCAGCTCTTTATTCCTGGAGACACATACGTCACGGGCAACTGTGTGGGCCTCGCATAGAAACCAGAGAGCAAGAGGAGAGAGGGAAGAAGACGGGGGTCAGCCAGTGCCCCAGGAGCACGGCCTGACCAGGGCAGTGGGACAGGGACAGAACTCCTCTGCCTGCAAGCACATGGATGGGACACCCTGGCTGCAGCCCTCAGCCCAGGCACTCCCTGAGGGGATGCTGTAGCCAGAGCCTGGAGCCTCTCCCCGTCCGCTGCCCCTCGGGGCAAACCTCACCCCTGTCACTGAGAGCGGGCAGCCCAGGGGCATGGCCTGCCGTGGGCACCCAGCTTTTGTGGCAGCCTGGAGACACCCCTGACCATGTCCCAGGTGGGGCCACGTCCAGGACAGCAGCCAGGGGCTGCAGGGCAGAGGGTCCTCAGTCTGCAAGAAGACGTGTGAGGAGACAGTGTGTGACAGACAGAATGGGGCCATCTCCAGCACAGCATGGTCTGGTGAGAGTCACCAACCTGGAGAACAAAGATGGGGGACTGCCTGGGCAGGGGGCATGAGCTCCACTGGGGCCTTTCCAGGTTCAGGAAACACCCTCTCCCCATACACCTCCTTTCCCCACTGCAGCACAAAGCACACAGGGCACAAGGGCTCTGGCTCCTGGGTTCCTCCATACCCAATAGGATGAGGCAGGAATATCCCCAACTGCAGCACAGGCCCAGAGTGCTGGGAGGGAATGGAATGGGGGGACACAGTGCCTTGTGGCATACAGCATAGCCCTGCAATGGACAGAGCTTCCCAGAGCCAGCGGGTCCCTACCTAGCCCGTGAATTCCCCCAAAGCCCACCTCTGCTCATCTCCATGGAGAGGCTCCCAGGCACAAGAGGGACAGAAACTCCCCCTGCCCAGTAGCATGCCACTAGTGCTCCACACAAAGCAATGCTTGCAGGTCCCTGGGGCAGGGAAGGAGGCGCTCAGCACCACACCGACAGTGCATGGGCACCACCAGAGGGGAGGCGGCATCAGGACAGTTGCAGAGAGAACCCTGCAAAGCAAGACCACAACAGCCCTGAGTGAAAAAGAGTGCAAAATAGTCCACCCTCTGCAGCTCTTCCCCACAAAGGGGAAGCAGAGGAAAGAACAGGAGGGAAAATAATAATCACAGCATCGCAATGACCCAGACCAGCACTGTTGCTGCTGTCTTGGCTACCACAGTAATAGACAGCCTTTTCCTTGGCTTGGACCCCAGTGATGGTTAAAGTGCCCGTGGAGCCGGACTTGGATCCGGAGAATCGCGAAGGGATGCCCGAGGGTCTCTTGTCGTTGTAGTAGATCACAGTGACAGGGGCACTGCCAGGGACCTTCTGCTGGAACCAGGCATAGCTGTTGCTACTCCCAGAGCAGGTGATCTGGATGGTTTATCCCAGGTTCGCTGACACGGAGGACGGCTGAGTCAGCGCTGCCTGGACCAGGGAACCTGGAGAGGGAAAGGAGAGAGGGGAGAAGATGGGGGTCAAGCAGTGTCCCAGGAACATGGCCCTCCCTGGGCAGCGGGAGGGTGACAGCACCCTGTGTCCAAAGGCCATGGGCGAGTGCTGTGTGGACTAGAGGGGCCAGGCCATGGCATGATGCCACCAGCTCCGAGTCCCCAACATGATTGGGCTGTGCTGCAAACTCCAACTGACTCTTATAGCCCCAACTGCCCGGGCACAGCCCCTCCGTGCAAATGTGGCCCCTCACATGCACTGGCAGCTCCTGTGCCAGTGCCCCCCTGCCCACTGCAGGCTCATCTCCGCCCAACAGAGGCACCAGAACCACCCTGGGCTGCCTGCTCCATGGGCCACTCACCTGGGAAAACCAGCTCCTGCTCCACACCAGGCCACCACAAGCAGCTTTCTCTCAGAAGCCACAACACAAGGACCAGCTGGATCGAGGGGTCCAGCCAACTGCTTCTTGACTCTGCTGTTGGCAAACACAACTCTAGCCAAGACACCTGCCCTGGGGCAGCCCTGACAGACCCTGAAATGCCTCAGGAAGAAAAGAGCAGCTTCCTTTCAGCCCTCGGAGACCCCTCACTCCAAATCCCAGACCCCTTCACCTGTTAGAACCACAGTGAATAGGACCCAGACACATGCAGACAGAGATTTACTAGTCTATGTTCCTTTTGCACAAGAGGTTCAATGACGAGCCACCACCACCCTCTCTGGCTCCCCGAGGCCATGAACGCAGCAGCTCCTCCTCGGACACAGCAGAGTGCCCACAGGCCTCTTCCTCTTCATCAGCAGTTTCTTCTGCTTCAGGTTCTGGTTGGGAACCAAGACTTAACATTCTCCTACAAGCTCACAAGCCATGGAGCCTCGTGGCTGCTTTACAGTCCAACACGCCGCAGCAGCAGCACCCCCCCGTGGCCTGACTCCACTCAGACTCGACTGGAAAGAGCAGGAACGAGAGGCAGCGAGAAGTCAACGAGCAGCTTTGAACTCGATTCAGTGCTTCTTGAACTCAGTTCTTTCTACTTTCACATCCTCTTCAATTAGTCGGTATACATAAGCCACAACGGTGGAGGCCTGCATATCCATCAGCACAAACGAAGGGATGACGTTCCTGGAAAGGAAACACGCTTTGTCCATCTTCCCAAGGAGCTGACACTTCTTGCTATTAACATCCCTTGTGCTTGTTGGCCAGAGCTGCTCTTAGCCTAGAACAGCCCTGGAGGCTGCTACACAGCCCAAGTCGTGTCAGGCTCAGACATTTAAGCTGACAGGGTCTCCATGAGTCTGAGTTCCTATGAATTAGCAGCATGCAGCTTCTGGGAAGACACCAGAAAGCAAAAGGACTTCAGGAAGCTGCTGCAACTCAGTGCCCCGAGGGCCCAGGAAGCCGCCCCAGACACACCAGTGCGGGGCTGCCGTGCCCAACACGTGGGCTAAGTCAAACCCTGGTAACTGGGGAGCCCCTCCATGGAGGTGGTCCCCGCAAAGGGAGAGAGCTGGTCTCTTGGCACAATGGCTACCCAACAGTAAATTAACAGCCAGCGCCAGCCCCAACATCACTGTCAGGAGCTCTGCCACTCCACATCCTCTAGCACCACTGCCACAACCGCTGCCACCCGCTCACAGCAGAGAGTAACGGTCACCCCACAGCACACAACCACGGCCACGCCGCTGGGCACGTGGGTGCTGATCAGCACTGCTGTCCCAGGCACCACAGTAATAGACAGCCTTGTCCTCAGCTTGGACCCTCACGATGGTTAATGTGCCTTTGGAGGCAGAATGGGATCTGGAGAATCGTGAAGGGATGCCCAGGGGTCTCTTGCTGTTCAAATAGATCACAGTGACAGGGGCACTGCCAGGGACCTTCTGCTGGAACCAGCCAGCATAACCATAGCTGCCACTACCCCCGGAGCAGGTGATCTGGACAGTTTGTCCCAGGTTCGCTTACATGGAGGGCGGCTGAGTCAGCGCTGCCTGGACCAGGGAACCTGGAGAGGGAGAGGAGAGAGGGGAGAAGATGGGGGTCAGCCAGTGCCCCAGGAGCACGGCCATCCCCAGGCAGTGGGACAGGCCCCTGTGCCCAATGGCCCATGACGGGCACACTGAGTCTGCCCAGGGATCTGAGCCATGGGCAAACATCATGAAGAGGAGAGGGACAAGGTCAAACTCATGCCAAGTGACCAGGCCACCTCCCAGCATAGCAGATGGACAGGCACAGGGTGTTGGGCAGCCCTTTGCTGTCACGGGCTCTTAGGGGGACATTGCCCAGCTCTAGGAGTATCCCTGGGGGCCAGAGGTGCTGGGGGGATCCTGCCAAGGCTGAGCATGAGCCCAAATGGGACAGCACTGGGCAAACACAGCCAACGCTGGAGTAGCCCACTGGCTCCTCTTGTGGCACAGCAGAGCAGCCCCTGACCAGCCCTGCTCTGCCCCACCAGCCTCACACATGGCCACAGAGATGCTGCGCCCACGGGAAATGTCCCTTCCCAGGGTTTGAAGGCAAAGCTTTGGCCCAGCTGCGCAGCCCATGGCATGTTCCCACCTCCTGGTGCTGGGGCCACAGTTTCAGCAGGGCTG